TGGATCATTTTGAGCCGAATTATAGCCGAACTCCTGAACCATACCTTTTATGCTCCAGTGGGCACATCTCAAGAGCAAGTGTTTTTTGGTATATATTTGATCTACACAAAACATTTTAGACATACGTGACCCTTTAAGAAAAAGTGAGAAGTGAAGTGATGAACCAGTAAAAAGTAGATTAAATCGCGCCGAAGGAGCACCAGCTTGCTGGTTTTTGATATTATGATAAGCGTTTTTTCAGTTCGACACTTTCCGATACTTTTTCCTGAGACCGAAATATATCGGGTCAAAATGTGGCAATCTTTTTGATGCTAGTTTTTTAGCATTTTTGCACAAAATTATTTAGAATTTCAAAATTTTAATTTCTCGAAATTCACCTAGAAATTCGGAAAATGCTCTTCGCACTCACATCATGAGAAAAAAGAGCGAATGAAACAAGAAACAAGAGAACGAAAAGTGGCATTTGTGTTGGCCTTGGTATCTCTAAGTTTTCAATTCTTCTCCATATTGTGTCCTTCTCCATATACAATTCTTCTCCATATTTTTTTCGTTGTTTTTTTTCCCATCTGTTTTTCTCTCGTTTCAATGTTTTATGTGAAAAGAGAAGAGAAGGGGTCAGTGTTCTGTCAGTGTGCAGAGAGATTCTTTCCTAGAAATCAAAGCTGTTCAAAATTGCATTTGCTGCCGGTCGCAGCTTTCTCAGGCCCAGTCAAAACTGCTTTCACATGGGTCACGTAGGCTATGAATACAAGAATGGGACCTTTATTCTAGATGACAATTAGCGTTGCGAAAAGAAAAATTTTCATGCCTAATCTGGAGAAAAAAGTATCGCCGGAACAGATTGAATCTTAAAACCATCTTCTGTATTGGCACAAATGAACGAAAGGATATTATTAGAAAACAATAGATTTGTGGTTTAGTCTAGGTGAAGTTTCGAAAATTAGTAAACTTCATGTCATCATCGTTTAAAGCATTGTTTTTCAGTCTTCAATAAAATGTATGTTTTCAGTTGCAGCCTATTTAGACCTTCATAAAAAGATACTTTTGATACTCCCAGCAAAAAAAAACATTGGAGGAAAATGACACTAATAGAATGCCATCGTATACTTGCACATTGAGCTCGATTATCTCAATTTTCTCAATTTTCTAACGATGGTTTAGACAATTTTTTATCTTGGAAAAACGAAAAACACATCGTTTTTCTCTGCGTCTCCATTTTTTATTGTATTCTTTGGAGATCTCTGCTCTGAAAACCAGAGACTGTTTATGTCAGCTCAAAGACTATTGGCTCAATTATCTCGAGTTTTGTAAGAGATATCAAAAACTTGCAGAGCAGGAATAAGTTGGTGATACTATGACAAACATATTATTGGTTGCCAACTTTTTATATCTCTTACAGAAATTAAGGTAGTTAAGCTCAAAGTGCAAGTATACGGTGGCACCCTACCAACACAGTTGCCATGAAACCTGTAATAGAAGGGCCCCCACAATGTCAAGTTTGAGCTTTATTTTCTTGGCTCTTAGTCAAGATATAACGAACCTGTCAGCTGATAAAATGTTTTCGGTGTTATGGTAAACAATTTATCAGCTGATTGATTTTATATCTCTCTTACGGAAATAGAAATAATTGAACTCAAAGTGCAAATGACATTCTACCAAAACAGTCAAAATAGTTAGACAAGAACATAGTTTTATACAAAATCCGTTCATTAAAAAAACATCGAGACTACAACAAAAAACGAACCCGTCGAATCAAATTTCTAGCTGGCACCGCTTAACACAACAAAATATCCCTAACCACTGAATCAAACTCGAAGAAATTGAACACATCAGAAACGCGCGTCTGATTGTAAATTGCTTTGATTCCACAACGAATCGAGCTGATCAACAAGAGAATTTCGCCGAATCTTTCTTCTCCACGGTCCGGAAACATGTTCAATGAATGCTCCATAAGTTCTTCCATACATTGAGTGTGAACCGATGCCACGTAGCCTTCCTGACCAGCATACACAGCTCGTTTGGAGAATGAAGCTGAACAATGAATGCTTAATTATCAGTTGATTCCTCTCAGAACTCTTACGTGTCAGGAGGAGCACAGTTTTCAATGCAGCACATTCGATTTCATCAATTTCCAAGTCTCTGAATGGTTTGGCAACACTGTTTAGCAGATCCGTTACAAATTTTTCATGCAACTCTGCTTTCTTATTTGTGGTTTTCTCAAATTCATATCCCTTAGGCATCCCCAAAAAATAGTCGGCATTCATAAAAGTGTTATTCTGAAGAATCCAGAATCCATCCTTCGCCTCTCTAGCAGTCTTGAAGCCCTGGTCGACTAGCAAGAAGGCGAAACCGTATTCCGCAAGAATACTCTGCTTGGATTCAATGGATATTCTTTTGAATGGTTTTAGCTGGCGACCCCATTCCGAAGCCTGGTTCATGCATAGTTTTAGCATGAGGTTCACATCGTTGGAATCTGCTCGTCGTGAATTTTCAGTGGAGCTTAATAAGTTGTTCTCAGTGAAGTATTGCAACGCTTTGGAGGTTTGTTGGTTTTGAAGGAGGACTAGGTTTTGGAGCAGGTTGGAGGAATCTACAAATTTAGAAGGTCAGCATAACCACAAAAGTTCTAACTAACCATCAGTATCATTCTCCGAAGCTGCGACAGGATCTATCAAGTTCTTCAAACTGGACTTTGGATCAACAGGGCTTCGTGGACCCACTAGATCCCTTCGTTGGATGGCTTCAGGTCGCATTCCGACTGTAAAACATTTTTGAAGTCTGCAGAAACGACAGGCACATCGGTATTCTGGAAAAATAAACTTTGATTTTGAATTCTGACGTCATCTTACCATTAGTGATGTTACAGTTTCCATCTCGAAGACATTTGAAAGTCGAATTTCTTACGATGGCTCTTCTGAAGAAAACAACGCATCCAAGACATCCTGGTGCTCCGTAACGACTACTATTCACCACTTCATTTCCACAAACTGCACAACACTCTTCAGAAGACGTGAAGGAGGATGGAGATGATGCAGAAGAGGAGTACATGGAATCCACTTCAGAGAGTTCCATGTTCTCGAAAGGTGACATTTTGCTTCTGAAGAAATTGAATGAATTTTTGGGATTAGAAATGGCTAGAAAAATCAAAAAAGCGTCCGAAGAAAGAAATTAATATAATTCCTGACACCCATTGTCCTTTTATAGGTGTCATTCGGGTCAGATAAATTTTGAAAGAAGCAAAAAAATACTGTGGATTCACTATATTTTTGAAGGAGGCGTGACCAAAAAATGAATGCATTTCATGTTAGGCATTGAACGGAGATTTTTATCAAGTTTTCGAGGAACTATCGAACGATTTTTCCGACTCGAAAAGTCATATGATGTATGTGTAAGAAGACGACGTAAAGATACCATTAAAAGAGTTTATTCATAATAGCAAAATTGTATCGAAATTCCCGAATCTTGAAATTTCGAAAACTCAAAATTTCTGAATCCTAAAGTTTCTAAAACACTACTTTTAGAACTTCGAAAAAATCTTAAAACTTCTGGACAAAGTACCTGAGAATGAAAATTATCAATACATAGCATTCTTAGCCGAGGGGGTCCAACCAGTGACTATTTATTCATAACAGAAATGTATGTAGATTGATTCTCAAGAACTAGGAGAATCGTGATTCGTGACAGCTTTGGCGTTTTTTTTGTAAAATCGCGAAGCGATAACATCTATCGTAGTTCGGAGACAAATCGTAGCTTCGGTATACCAACATTTTGAAAACTAGGGGAGAAAAGTAATTTTAGAGAAATCGGACCAGTTTTTGGGGGTCTATCCCAGGTGGGTGGTCCCAAACAGAGTCCATCAATCCCATTGACTATAAAAGCTGTCCTAGAAGAACCACGGTGGAACCGCTGGGACCACTGGGACCGAAGAACCACTGAGACCGTGCACCGAAAATAGGACCGTGTCCAAGAAGATGGAATCTTGAAAGGGTAGTCAAAGGGATGGGACATGGTTAAAGGGACATGGTCAAAGAGATGGGACCACGGTCTTCATCTTAGACCCACTTTTATTATCGATGGTACCGTGAGCATCTTTCTGGAACCTCTCTTCTGGTAGGTGATCAAAAAAAAACTAGGTGTGCTTAGAAAATCCTAGTATCTTCATATTCCATGTTGGACTTATTTTTTGTTCGAAAATTGAATTTATAAACATCCAGTGTATTCGTTGCGATAATAATCACAAGATCGAGACTTCACTATGCGTTCCGGGTTTCTTTAGAAACGACAATTTGAAACAAAAAAAAGGATAAATAGAAAGTGCAGTCGATTTTGGAGATTTTGAATCTAAGAAGACAAATGCATAGGGAACTAGAAATATCACTCTCTTCGGGATGTTTAAAGCGGCAGGAAGAAGTTTGAGTTTGAGGAGTTTGAGGGACAGATTGGGGAACATAATCGCGCCGAGCTTGTACCATTGGTCGGCAGCCGGTATAGCTCAGCCGGTAGCGGAACTCTATCCCTGACATGCCTCATGGTCTCAACGTCTTATGGGAGTTCTCTAGGCAAAACATCTTTAAACATTTTTTTTATTGTCTTGCCTTCTTTCACAATATAAGTTAGAAAACGATTCAAAGGGAATTGAACTCTTGAACAATTCCTTCTATCTCCCGAATCCATCTTTTTTCTCCAAGTCACATGCAGTAGATAATAGATCTTGGTACTCAGAAAAAGTCTTGTCGTAGTCTACAAAACTCTTTTTTTTTCGTATATCTAAAGTTATCTGAAAGAGTACCAAGGGATCCTTTTGATCACACGGGATTTTGAAAAAGGCTTCTCTGAATTTTGAAGATTGTCATCTACTTTTTTCAGAGTCATCACTGAAAAAAATGCATTCATTTTTAGAATCGAACCGGATCGTTTAATAAATTCTTCGTTCTTATATAATTATCGTTATGAAAGCAATGGATTGTAGAAGGAGAATATACTACCGAAGGGGTGACATTTTCAAAAGAAGTACATAAAATTTTTAGATCTATAGCAGAAGAGAGATCTCAAGGAGGGACCCTTCCCTCCGACCATGGTCACATGAACCTTGCCATGGTACCTTGACCATGATGGGATTGTTGCAAGGGTAATGGGACGATGGTCGGAGGGATGGGATCACGATCGTCATGTCGGTACTGCTCTTACAATCGATGGGACCAAGCGTACCTATTTGTGACCGACGGTACCATAATGGGAGACCTGGCCCTTACCTTGGTGACCTCTTTTTTGGTATAGACCCAAAGTATTTTAGAGAAAAAATCAACGGAAAATCTCGAAGCTTCAGAAAATGTACCGAAAGTACGCGTTTCCTTACAATTGACGCCTCTCAGATCCATATTTCTTTGTGAATGAACACAAAAACCCCGAATCGTAATTCAAGTCGCAGGTGCGCCGCGGGTAAAAGTTTTTCGTGATCAATCTAAATACACACATTTGGATATTATAATAGGAATCAAAAATCGCTTATCTTTTGCATGTCAATTGAACCGGAAACCAGAAAGTGAATAAGAATCAATCCTAGAAAATTGGGTCCAGGCGGGGTCTGCCATAGTTTCTTTAAGGATGAAAGTTTCCGGATTAGTTAATTTAAATATGATAGAACTTGACGAGTACTACAAAATTATAATATTTGGAAAACTGTACCTCATTCGTGAACAGAGTTACAAGTCAAAAAGATGTCAATCCTTGTCGTTCCGTTTCGTCTCTATTCATAGCATACGTGTAATCCGGGCCTTGCCGGGCCTTCGCGGGCCCTGGCATAGTTTCTCTCAGAGTCAATATTTTCGGACCCATCAAATTTGATATGGTAGAACTTTACGAGTACTACAAAATAATACTATTTGATAAACTGTATCTTGTCTATGAACAAAGTTACAGGCCATCAAGTGGCTTTACCCGGACGGCCCGGAAGGCCCGGACCGGGCCTGCTTTTTTTCGTACTTTTTTGTTTGTAACTTTGTTAGACAAGATATACAGTTTATCAAATACAGGGCTTCACAAAATGATGCTTCCACCCTCCGTGTTTACAGGAACACCTATTTAGGTCATTTTTCGTGAGAAGGTGTCAACATGACAAATAAAGGCCTCCTTTCAAAACCTACGTACAAAAAATTTGGACCCATCACCGTGACCCGGAAACGAGATACCGGAAAAAATCCGAAATTCACGTTTTGGCCGATCCACAAAATGATGCTTCCACTCTGAAAAAGTGAGATTTCGGAGGTTTTTGAGCTCTGCGGCCACTTTTTGAAGGCCTGAATCTGAAGAATTTTGAGTATCTGACCCCCATACACTGAGATTTCAATACAGGATTACTGAATTCCGGATTCCGGATATCCGTTTTCCGGATTTCCGGTTTCCGGAAACTGAATTTCCGGATTCAAAATTCCGGTTCACGGTTTTCGGATTTTGTATTATGGGTCTTGAATTCTGTGTTCTGAATTTCGGAATATGTGCTCCGGATTCTGGATTCTGGAACCGGGAATTTTTCGATTCCGGTTTCCGGATCAGCTTTTTGAATGAATTTAAACGTCCCGAGAATCTGATATTCAGGTTTTCTTGACGAGCGAGAGTTTCAGGAAGTTTCCGGGAAGTTATGAGAGCTTCTGAGATTCTGAGGGATTCTAAATCAACTTGGGATTTTGAAAGATTCTCCACGATTATGAGAGACGGTTCCGGATTTCGCTCTGACTACTAAGACTTTCAAAAACGAAATTTGAGATTGTCCAGAAGAAATTTCAAAGCAGAAGGTGTGATGATATGGGCTGCAATTTTATCGGAAGGTTCGATCAAACTGAACTTCGTTTCGAATAAGATGTACAGATTGACGAACGCCTCTTCGTCGCGGAATTCTGACTTTCTGGAAAAGAAGAAGGAATCGGAGATTCGTCTTCATGATGATCTTTTTGGTGGTCGTGGTAGTTAGAGCGGGATCCATCGAAGTCGTCTCTCATAATCCTGGAGAATCTTTCAAAATCCCAAGTTGATTCAGAATCCCTCAGAATCTCAGAAACTCTCGTAACCACCAGAAAACTTCCTGAAATTCTCGCGCATCAAGAAAACCTGAATATCAGATTCTCGGGACGTTTAAATTCATTCAAAAAGCTGATCCGGAAAACCGGAATCGAAAAATCCGGATTCCGGAATCCAGAATCCGGAGCGCGTATTCCGAAATTCAGTACACAGAAATCAGTACACATAATACAGAATCCATAAACCGTGATCCGGAATTTTGAATCCGGAAATTCAGTTTCCGGAAACCGGAAATCCGGAAAACGGATATCCGGAATCCGGAATTCAGTAACCCTGTATTAAAGTCTCAGTGTATGGGGGGGGGGGGGGGCAGATACTCAAAATTCTTCAGATTCAGGCCTTCAAAAAGTGGCCGAAGAGCTAAAAAACCTCCAAAATCTCACTTTTTCAGAGTGGAAGCATCATTTTGTGGATCGACCAAAACGTGATTTTTGGATTTTTTCCGGTATCTCGTTTCTGGGTTACAGTGATGGGTCCAAATTTTTAGTACGTAGGTTTTGAAGGGAAACCTTTATTTTTCATGTTGACACCTTCTCACGAAAAATGACCTAAATAGGTGTTTCTGTAAACACGGAGGGTGGAAAAATCATTTTTTGGAGCACTGTAGTATCATTTTGTATTACTCGTCGCGTTCTATCATATCAAATTCAATTGGTCCAAAAATATTGACTCTGAGAGAAACTATGCCAGGGCCCATGAAGGCCCGGAATAGGCCCGGACTACAAGTATGGTTCATAGACAAGGTACAGTTTTTGAAATAGTATTATTTTCTAGTACTTTTTCAGTTCTAACTTCTCTGATTTAGCTGGTCCAAATCCTGACAGAAACTATGGCAGGGGCCGACAGGCCCCGTTTTTTGCCCGTTTTTAGACCGTTTTCAAGTATAGTTTTATGGTCCCTCTATCCAGTTTACGACCGGGTTGCCCGTAAGTCAGATTTCCTGAAAGACTGTAAAAATTCTAAACTTTTCAATCAAATGAAACTATAGACAAATTCTTCTTATGAGAATAGTCCCCCGCTCAGTTTTTCATAGTAGCAAGATCTTTTATCTACTTCTTTTTTGCGCAGAAAATGGTCAGAATTTGAAAATGATTTATGTGGAGATAAGAAGAGTGGTGAATAGTTCAAAACACAACGAAAGAACGAGAAGAAAAAGGATATATTCAAATATTGTCGGTGAATTCTTCAAATATCGAATCATTTCTGTACACAAATTGTTCTAGATGTCTTCAAAATAGTGCTCACTAGACTCCAACACAAAAATTAACACACTTAGACATGGAAACATAATAAACTGTATCAGTGGACTGATCACAAAAGTTCATATCACAAACCTGGCTACAATTGGCTAGACAAACGAATGTATGACCAAAATGTTTCTTTATGGGTTTTGGGCCATTTCAGGTGGGTTGAGACTGATTTAGGGAGTTTAGAAACTTACGAATTTGATGAATTTAAAAAATTATCTTAATTTTGAATGAAATCCTCAATATTAGTTTTTCTTGATCAACAATCAACATACTATCACAAAACCGAACATTCTTGTAGTTCCAAAAATCTCTTCGACGTAATAAATTCCTAGACAAAACCACTTCTCATTAGCTTACTTTATTTTCAGAATACCTACAGCCCCCAAGGAGTATAACGAGGACACTCATATAAAAAAGGGAACACAATTAAGAACGGTCAGAGTTGAGAATGGCTTCGTATGTTCAGCTCGCGTCAACTTGTGTTTCGCTTCTTTTGAATCTATTTCTGTGTTGGCTGATCTGGAAAAAGTCTCCGAACAAGATGGGGAGCTACAAGCAGCTGATGGTTTTACATCAGTTTTTGAGATGTATTACGCAATGTTGGATGGCGCAGCGGATGTGGTGAGTTGGGGAAAACATAAAACCGAATTTAACGTCAAATCGCCAAGGATCCGCACACTGTCTAGTTTTTGGTCATTTTTCATGGTTAGTATGAAAGATTTCAAAAATGTGTCAACTGATAACATGTTACTGATATTATGATGAGCATTTTATCAGTTAATCACTTTTTGATATCTTTGACAGGAACTGAGATAAATTGGCTCAAATTTAAAAGATAAGAGGACCTTCTACTACAGGTTTAGGTATTTGAAGGTCTGTAAGTACCGTGAAACCTGTAATAGAAGGAACCTCACCCTTTTTAGTTTTTTCTCATTTTTCGTGGTTCCTACCTTCCAGACCGTCTTTGCTCATGGATTCGCAGTTGTGGTATTCCGTGAGTACCTGCCAAATTCATGGGTTCCTTCTATTGTCTCAATGGCTCTGGTCATCGCATATTGCGTCACTTTTGGAATGTGCATGGCCATCCTAGCTTCCCATTTTATGTACCGATACAGTGTCACTGATAGGTTTGTTAAAACATGTCTTTAAGAAAAAATCTGTATTTTGTTTTTAGCACATTTCACCATTGCTACCTTTCCGGCAAAAAGTACTATCTACTATTCATGGCTCCTTTTGTATACGCGATATGGTGGACATCCGCTCTCCTATATGGGTATTCGCCCAACGCGGAATCAGATGAATATCTGAAGGCTAGATTTTTGGATACTTTTGATCTACGGCTAGATCAAATTTCTTATGTGAGCCCCAAGTTTTATAGATACGACAGCCAAGGAGTATTAGTGTTTAAAGGGGGACTCCGACCAAAAATTTTTATTGCATTAAAATGTGTTAAAAGTTATCTATTTTCCGAATATTATTGCGAAAAAATTCAAAAAAAATCCGAAATTACCAAAAAAACGCCGTTGAAAAGGAAAAAAATGCAAAAAAAAGGTGCCGCCGGGGGACGAGGATTTTCAGTGAGAAACCTAGGCCACGGCAGCGGGCGCCTTTCCTATGTGGCAAATTTTCCGGATTTTTTTCAATTTCATGTCCGGCAGGTAAAAAACATAAAAAACCACTTTCGGCGACTTGAAAAAAAGGCTGTCAGGTGCCGTGGGCTAGGTTTCTCACTGAANATCCTCGTCCCTCGGCGGCACATTTTTTGAATTTTTTTCATTTTCAACGCCGTTTTTCGGGGATTTCGGATTTTCTTTGATTTTTTTCGCAATAATATTTGAAAAATAGATAACTTTTAACACATTTTAATGCAATTAAAATTTTTGGTCGGAGTCCCCCTTTAATTTCGGCGGTTTTGATGGCTTACTAAAGATTCAGTTGGAACGTAGTAAGTGCAGTTGCAGTCTCCACTGATTAAAGTAGCTATTGGATAAATAATAGAGAATAATATTAGGCTAGCAAGCATTTTGAAACTCGTTTTTGAAAATTTGCGTTTTCGAAAAAATTTCACTTGTGGAGAATCAAATTTGTGCGATACGTTTTTGTCTCGTTTTTTTACATACCATATGTTTTTATATAGTACAAAGAAATGTTTGTGCATCTGTTGAACATGTTGTATGTTGCAAAATTATTCCAATCTTTTGCCTGCTTGATTCGACAAATAATAAATGATCAGTTTTTGTGAATGGTCTGGGCCTCCGGGGC